GGGTCCTACTTGCGCGTCCCTAGTTGGACTTCTAGGGTTTTATTGTGTATGTATTAGGCATATGACTGTATCCATATACCTAACTTAAATACCTGTATATCTATAATTACATGTTCCTACAGTGGGAAGCCCGGCCAGCCGAGGCGGGCGCGCGCTAGCGTTTACAATTATGGATACTGTTTTGGGGCTCCCCATAATAAGGATTATAATATATTGGGGTCTATATTGGGGTCCCCTTATTTTGGGAAACTACCATTTCTTTTCAGACGATTAGACTAAGTTGCCTCTATGAATGCACTCCATTCTCATGATTTTTTACTACGCACCCATACAATGGTAACTTAGCCTAAGTTCCTTAACAGCAACCCCTCACAATCACCCTCATGTATACTTTGAACGCTTCATCATGGGAATTATTAACAATGAAACCTTTTATCTTGAGTTTTCCGTTGAAGTGCGCGGATTTTCGAACTACAGCTTGGGGATACAGCATAAAAAGCTGTCCCCGACATGGCATCCAGAACTCTGGACTCGAGTATCTCTCCAAATCGGAGAGCCGCTGCTATACACCTGAAAAACGGCGTGCCCCTTGCGAAGCTCCCCAAAAAGAGCCCCAATGCTTTGGAAAACTCGCAGTTTCAGAAAGTATGGCGGCTTGGAGCTGCAAGGTCGATCCCCATAATCAGCAGTAACCCCGCGGTTAAGGTTTAGGGTTTATGGTTTAAGGTTTAGGGTGTAGGGCATCTGTGAGGGTCCAGAAATGCCTCAACTCCATCCTTTCTTGGGGAAAGATAAGAAAAATCCCATCCATGAGCGGTGTTCAGGGACAGATGGCTAAACATGTGTGCAGAAGGAGGCTGTGAAGTACACCTAAACCCTAAACCACAAACCGTGTAACCATGTAAGCTATAGCCTCAACTCCTAGCATGCCCTGTAGTAACCCCTCTAATACTCCTCCATATAATCCCTGATACAAACCCCCTTTGAGGAGTTTAGACCCTAAACAATAAACCATAAATCCCTACATAATCCCCGATTTGGAACTTGTCTACTATAATACATGTTGGCTTGGTGTCAGGTTCTGCACTGGCTGGGCAGCCTCTCAAGAGCCAATGTTCACCCTATCCAACCCCCCTTGCCTGACTATTAATAGTATTCTTCTTACTTTTATCATTACTACTAGTATGATTGTGATTGCTGCTTTTCTTACTACTATTACTACCAGTACTATTAGTAACAGCCCTTCTAGTACTAAATGTCAGGGCAAATGTCGCAGAGATTTCGCGTCAAATGCTAGAAAGCTTACCCTTGTAACAAGCAACGGGCACCAACTTTTTTGCACACCTCTTGAAATCCCTAGACTCTAAACCCTAAACCCTCACACCTAAACGCTAACCTCACGGTTGCAGCCCATGAGCGGATCAAATTGTAAGAGCCGATCTAGGAGGTCGCACTGCGCGTCCTTTGTGCTGCAACGCTCTGCCAGGCTAGCTAGGCCTCTATGCCGTACTGCTATTTAGGGCACCGAATTTCGTACACAGAAGATACTAGACATGAAGTTAAGTATCCTGAAACATATATTTTGGTGGGGGTTCTTGCGAAAATATGATCGCTACTAGGATTACAACCATATGCTAACTTCTAGTATGCTTATTATTACTAGTGCTATCCTTCTTCTTCTCACATAAGTATAACAATGTGTGCTGTTCTTATTGCTTCTAGTATTCTTCGGATCATTACTTTTTGCTGGTGAGGGCCAGCGTGCCTACATGCAAAGACTTCTACCTCGGCACACGGCAAAACAGAGCCCTCACATGCCCTCTAACATGCCAATGTAAACCCATGATTAATAAACCCCCTCCTTTTCAGGGCCTTGAATATTGAGATCCCTACTATAATCCCTATTAAGGGGTGGGTGTTTATTTTGTCAGCGGTCTCGGCTAAGGATCTTTTTTACATTTTTTATACGGCCCCGAAGAAAGCATTGAATTGGTGAGAAAAAGGAGTTCTGGCATGATTATGTACTACTACAGGCACAGCTAAGGTTATGCTGGGCCAACGCCAGTCTGGGATGAGACCACCTTGGCCCCATCCCTATACTTGAGTATGTCACAAATTCAGGGTCTACGTTGAATATTGTATTCAATTTACACATGCATGTATGTATGTATGTATGTCTGTCTGTCTGTCTGTCTGTCTGTATGTATGTATGTATGTATGTATGTATGTGTGTATGTGTGTATGTGTGTATGAATGTATGTATGACCGTGCACAACATCTATATACACATTTCTCGACTGAGTAACCTTAGCAAAAGGCCTGCCAAAGCAGAATTGACCGTTTGACACATCAGCTATAATCTTTACTTCTAGTATTGCCTGTACTAACCCCTATTATACTTCCCTGCATAACCCCCTATATAACCCCTTGAAGGAGTGTAAACTATTGCTCACATACCCACGGCATCCCTAATATCAAAGGGCTGCCAAGAAATCTGAGGAGCAGAAGCCTGCGGATAAATGACCTTCCAGTTCCTTGTGCAGGTTGTTTAGAGTCTAGGGTTTAGGGCCTAGGGAATGGCCCATCTCATTCTAGATTTACGTATTAGGTTTTTCAATGCGTGTTCAGAAGGCTACTTCGGAGTATTGAATCTCAGGGACTCATCCAGGGCAAAGCTTGCTCACGATATGCGATGCTTGTCCACAAACTTACCAAAACCGGTCTCAGAACCCCAGTAAAAATCATAATTTTTGGTTGTTACTAAGATTATAAAAGTCAAAAATTGGAAATTATTTTGGAGGCCCCTCTAGTTACTAGTTGTTAGTAAGGAATAGGGAGGGGCTGGATCCCTATCGCAGCCCCTGAAAAACCCCCAGGGAAAAATAATAGCTTCTCTGTCCTACTTGCAATGCCTTCGACATGGCCATTCACAAATACAATGAGAGAATTGTCGAATATGTTGCGTATAAGAGCTTCTTGTGGGCACCTGCAAGTTGATCAATCAGAATCGAAGCGAAGTGCATCAGTTTTCAGTAGACATCATATGTCAAGGCCCAAGGCTTCTGAGCTTACGCACTTTATTGGCAGAACGCTCCTCTTACCGCTTTGAACTCGAGAATGACGGAAGGGCTGCTGGGGCTTATTCTCGGAATTTTAAAGCAGATGCGATAAACATCGTTGGCGGGATCCATTCCTTCATTCCTCCGAACAAAGGCAGGTCAACTTCGTTCTACAGCTTTAGGACCACATATGGCGAGCGTTAACCTCGACATGTGTATGCCGCATAATCTAGTCTAGAAAATGCTGCATTGCTAGGATCCAATATCATCACGCAAGAGCTGTATGGAAGCCAGCCAAACTCATGCTCCCGAATCATTCCAATCTGGTGTTACGCATGCCAACTTCCGCAAAGTCACTGACGTGGGAGATCCGGATATTTGCTCTGCAAGAAGCTCCGTGCTGCTGGATTGTTTTCCTCGGTTGTCTCGGATTCTAACTTCCTTCCTTCTATCCTTCCTTCCGTCCCAAAAGCCACCCAAAATGACAGCAAGGCAACTGCAGCCAACTGCCCTAAACTAGACTAGAGCTGTTACCACCACAGACACACATGCGTTTGTGGACACGCCCTGTAAAATTGCCTCATGCCCTCCAGCTGCTGCATGGACAGGAAGTCTCCTGTTGGAAGGCCCACGTCGGGGAACAGATTCTTCTAGAGCATGTTTGAGACACATTTAAAATAGTCTGCTACTATCGACTAAGCCGGAACCCTCAAAGCCTGAAAGGCAGTTCCCCTTCAACCCTAACCCATGCGCTACCATCATCATCCAACAATGCGATCCAGATGCTGGAATGAAGGACAGCTCCGACTCCTTTGGTTTAGGGTTTAGGGAACACACAGTCACATCTGACATACCCGCAGTATGGGGTCACTCCGAAGATGAGGTTTAGGGTTTCGAAATCTGTGGGATGTCCCAGCAGGGTTTAGGGTTTAGGGTAGATACGTGGGGACTCACACAAGCTGCAAAGCCTTCCGTTTGCGCGCGTCGTTCGCAGAAGCGTACCCAGGGAAAACCAGGCCCGACTCTGCCATCTTTTCTTAGCCCACATTACCCTAGGAAGAAAAAAGGACCCTTGTTTACATCAAAACTATAAGGAATCCCATACCCCAACAGGTACAAAGGATCCCTAACATTAATCCAGTTTTTAACACGGGCTTATAGGACTTAGTAATGCCTAGGTTCTTACAGAATGGACAACACAAATTGGAAAACAGTGCCCAGGGCTTCATGGAGAATCAAAGTGAGAAGCATAGTAAGAATGAGAAGAAAGCTACTAGTCAGGGTCTGGGGTCCGGGGCCATAGTAATATCTAGGGTTTGAGGTGAACTTGCTGTTTCTCAGTGGGGAATCAAGAACGGGCCCAGCGGCACGAGCTCATCTAATGAGGGGGTTGCTGGTAAGAACGGTCAGCAAGAAACGATAGCGTTGGGTGTACACTCTTCTGCGTATCCACCTTATGGTAACCCAAGTTCACGTCCTTAACAACAATCCGGATTAGTAAGCCCTAGCCCTAAACCGTAAGCCTTAAACCCTACACCCGAAACCTAAACCCTAAACCCTAATAAAACCGCAATAGCTTGAACTTGCAAGTGTCATAGTGACGTGTTAAACCCTTAACCAAGAAGTCCATGGCCTCAGGATTTAGGGTTTAGCGATTAGGGTGTACGGTTTTAGGGCTCAGGGTTTGGGGTCTAGGGTCTTCGGGTTTAGGGTTTTAGGAAGTATAGGGTTTATTGGTGTAGGGTTTTAGGGTTTAGGGTTTGAGGTTCAGGGTTTAGGGTTCAGGTTTTTAGGATTTTGGGTTTACATCTACCAACCCGAAGCTCCCAACCCAAAATCACTTGGGGACAAGGATTAGGGGTTTAGGGTTTAGGGTTTGTTTTCAGACCCTCCCAGATCCATGTGAGCTATAGTCTTAACTCCTAGTATCCCCCTCCAGAAGCCTATAATCCCCTATCTAACCTTCTTGGACCCTAAGCCCTAGGCCCCATATATCCCCCTTTAAGGAGTTTAGACTATAGCTCATGTAGCGACGGCCTCTGGTGTTCCCAGAATCGCACATATCGAGCGCATCCTCGGGTTAGGTCAATGGTTTAGGGTTTAGTGCGGTTCCTGAATCTGAATTTTGCGGTTACCATGTGGCTTCTGGAAGGTTAGGGACCCAAAAAACTTTGTTCTAAATTCGGACGCCCATTAAGGCTATTAAGGTCTCGACATGTATGGCAACATCATGAAGACAGAAAAAGGGTCTTTCGACAAAACAGCTACACTACACGTAGTGTATATATCCCTTTGAAGCCCCCATGGCTTGAATCTTAGACCGCTACCATAAACTCAGCTTGGGATTTGTTTCTTTGAGGTGGATGGGCCGCTTGCTTGTTTTTACGCGTCTAGGTGCCTAGGCGCTGCGGTGTTCAGGGACTGTGGCCAGACCCACTTGGGTCCACTAAACCGAATATCCACAAAGGACTGTATGCCCTACCCCAAAATATCTAACATGGAAACCTCCTCTTTGTTGAAGGCCGCCTTTTTGTGGTTCCAAGAACCCAAAACCCTAAACCTTGGGCTCGGGTAGGGTACCTTTGAAAAAGCGTGCCTCACTGGCCCAACTCTGGCTCCTACCCATAGGGTTTAGGGTTTAGGGTATATTGGGATAATGGAAAAGAAAATGGAAAAAACTACTATAATGGGGCTATATTGAGGTTATATTGGGATAATGGAAAAGAAAATGGAACCTACTATTTAGGGTTTAGGGTTTAGAGTTCAGGGTGACCAGCACGAAAATGGAAACCCATATCAGCTCTTCTAGGGCCCTTTCTGGCCTTCCATCTCAATCTCCTCCCCTGATAAGTCACCTCTACACACCCTGATAATAAATACTCACCCGAATATATAAAAGATACTAAGTGGGGGGGGAGGGGTTATTCGAAGGTGAGCTTACTATTACGGAGAGCGAGATCGGGGGAGGGTATCGAACCCTCCGCTGCAAGACTTGAGACTGTCCACTAGCGACCTGCTCCCAACTTCATCTAGTCAAAGGGTTGTTAGCTTCTAGGGCTCAGGTTGGGTCATTCCCCTTTATAGTATATAACAGTTACCACATGTAAAAATCAAAATGGAGTGACACAAGGTTTAGTTTATGGTTTGGGTTGGATGGTTGGTTTAGGGTTTGGCGCTGGCTGAGGGTTGAGGGTTTACAGTTCTGGCCTAGGCAAACAATCCGAAATGTTCATGTTTCTTGAATCTGAGCTTGTTCGCTTGCCAGAATACCATACCTGAATCTTGAAGCCTAGAAACCACTGATCAAAAAAGGTAAGCCCGATACCCTAAATCTTCCCTAAAACTGCAGCCCTAAGTGCTAACTAAACCTGAACATATCCCTGAATAACCCCTTTTTTCGCTACTGCAAAAATGCGCCCTATCACCACTACCTGGACAAAACTGCAACCGAAGGTGCTGGTCCATGAAGTCCGTACCACGGAACATCGGCGCGCGGCCGATGAGCTCCCCAAGGATGCAACCTACAAACACCAGGTCTAAGTGGTTTAGGGTTTAGGGTCTAGGGTTCCGGCTTCGGGCTTTAGAGTTAAGACTAACTAAGTAAATATTGAAGTAATCTTGGGTTAATATTGGGATTATGTTGGGGTTATATTGGCGCAATATTGAGGTTAGATTGCGGCAATAATGGGGTACTATTGGGGTACTATTGGGGCTTTATTGGAGTTATATTGGGGTAATATTGGGACTGTATTGGGATTCTATTGGGTAATCTTGAGGCAATACCAGTTCATCTAAGCTTCTACAGTAGGTCAACACGGTTCAGGGGATTCTGGGCGTTGTTTTTAGAACCAAAGAGTTGGCTTTTGCAAGATTTTCATGCCTCAGAGTTCTGGGTCCAAGGCTTGTAATGTGAAGTTACGGGTTGAAGAGTTTCACGAGGGCATCCACACGGAAGCTTCCTGCTATGTGTAAAAGCAACTGCCGCATGGTCCTTGACTCTGACTCATCTGCGACCGCAGAGCAGACTACCGGTATCCAGCGCGACAAGTTGCGAACAGAAGACACAAATGACAAGCACCCAACATTCTCGAGACATGGCCCAACTGCCCAGAAAACATGACTGAGACTAAAAGTTCCAGGCAAATTTTGACATGACCAGAGCGCAGTCAAGCATAACAAGATACTAACGATGAAGCCGTGATAAGGGTTGGAAGCTGCTCGTGATAATGACAGCAAGGAGGCATGATGCAAGGCATCAGCAGGTACGACGAGAGAACCGCAGTGGCCTCCACAGAAGCCCCAGCAGCAACGGCATCGTGAACCGCCAACAGCAACATCAACAACAACAACAACAACAACAACAACACCAGCAGCAGCAGCAGCAGCAACAGCAGCAGCAGCAGCAGCAGAGGTGGCGGCGATAACAGCAAAATTGGCAGCTGCAGGGTCAGGCATAACAACTCACACAGTAGCACCAGCAAATGCCAGCAACAACGCCAGAAACATCAGCAACAATGCACGCCACGACAGCAGAGGCAGCGGCACTGAGCAGCGAGTGTGGGCTTTACAGTCCGTGCACCACACACGAAGCTTCAACTTCCAATGTGAGTAGACGCGAAAGAAGCAGAAAACCTCCAAGAAAGATGCACTTTGATGCCTTCAGCTTGTGGTGGCCTTTTTTTCTCAGCCTTCACCTTCCGCTTAGCCTTAGAAACATGCAGGCGGAAGTCTTACATACTGAATTGGTTTGCACGAGAAACCCCTTGAATCCAAATTTGACATACTCATCACGTGCATAAAGCACCACAGAGCAACTCGGGCGATACATTCATAAGCTGCACATCGTGCCTGAATGACAGACAACAGATCTACTGGCAGGACCTTTTTGTAGTTGCTTGCTGGCAGCCAGAAGCTGGAATGTTAAGAAGCCTGAACAGCCAATTACAATCCAAACAAGCGTCCGGGGCGACGAAGGTGAACAGAAAGGTATACCCGTGATCCCAATTACCTACAGCTCAACAATTTCTCCCCCCTGACTAGTACATCTAACCCACAGAAGTGTAAGAAATTGGGGGTTCCAGGTACATCTTCATAAGATGTGCTCCATTGCTGTAGACTTGTCAATGCATGACGGACACCCTTCTGGTTTCTTCTGGATTCTTTTGCCTGCGCTCCACATGTCAACGGCTGCCGTGTACTCTCGGGAGGTCAGAATCACCTCGCCACTTAGAGCAGGGCTTGAAAAATCTGCATTCCGAGTTTGGGGTTTGAGATTAAGGGATACCTGGTGCTCAGAACGAAGGCCTCAACAGGTCAACCAACGTATGAGGCATTACATTGGGACTTCAATTGAAGACACCTGTTTTCGCAAACTGACACATACCCTATGGGGGATCGCCATAAGAACTTCAACCAA